CAGCAAGAACGGCGATAGACTTCATGGCTTTGGCTAAGAGGGCTTATAAGTAAGACAAATTGACAACAACTTTAGGATTTGTAGAAGCAACCGGGTCAAGATTGGAGGAGAGCCGGCTGGGAAACTCTGAAAGAACTGAATGAGCATCTATCTGATGGTCAAAAATGTTGTGTTGTTCGGATGGCCCTTGGTCACTTGCTTTATATGTTTAGTTCCTCGAGTTGAACCACTCAGATATCCGTCAACCTGGCCAGGCATCCTGGCTCAGGGGCTTGGCAAAGGCATGGAGTAGGCGCAAGCCACGGTATCAAATATGCTCGGATATAGTTGTCAAGAACACTCTTGTCATACCCAACGACCGTTAAAGTCTATTATCAAGGAGCCAAATTTGCCAACCGAGGGAATCCATGGGTGAGACTGGAAGTGCTAAATGATTCATGACACTTCAGCTGAGATAGTGACCATGTCACGCATTGAATCTAGCAGCAACACAGCATGAATTGTCCTTGAACAGCTGCTATGAACGGTGATGCAGGGCTAAGCCTCTGCGCTTTCGGTTCAGTTGAGTGGAGGGTTCGTCTGAAACAGTCGCCTGAGACTCAGAAGTTTAACCACCACCTCGGATTGGTATTCAAGGTCAAAGATGTAGAGAAACTGTGAAACTATCTTCCCGTCGTCACATCACTACTGAGAGTCATTGGAATTCTCTGCAGTATTTGATTTTGCCGAGATACATCGGAGTTTCGCATTCATATCCGTCGGAGTGAATCAGAAATCCGGCTCTGCTTTCTAGTGCATTGTCCAAATACCATCATGGGATTACTGACTTAGCTACTAGCGTGACTATTTTTTGTGCCAGAACTGCTGGCACACAGCACCCTACTCCAATCTAAAAACCCATGCCTTTTGGGGCGACAATGTTCCCTGGATGATGTTTTTCCATGCCCTTTCAATTCCGTTTGTACCTCCGACACCACTTCCCCAAACCAGCTCAAGGTCTGCTACGCTCTCCTCCTCAAGGAACCTTCCGAACGTTGATTCAGCGCCGTCGAAGTATTTACCTGCACCCTCTACAGCAATCCCAGCGTCTACAATACCAGTAGTGTTAAGCTGAACAAGTCCCCACTTCTTGAATATCGCCATCGACTTGAGGGCCTCCTCTGGTGCCATGATCTTTGGCTCTCCTCCGACTTGGATGTTGGTGAACACAGTCGACCCTGATAGCGTAGATTTGATGACCTCGCGGAACTCCTCTGTTTCTTTCGGACGGCCACCAAAGTCGGCTACAACCACGCGTTTGGGTTGCAGTTTGGCAATCCAGTCAATGGTGTCTTTTGCAGCGAGCTCGGAGTAGTTGACCGTCTTGATCTCGAACGCTGCCTTTGGGATGGCTCTCAAAGAACCTGGCGTAGAGGTGGCTTGGAGAAGAGCCAAAGGTCCGCCATCGGGCTTTCTGCCTCTAGCCAGGTTCCACGAAAATGACCTGCCGGTACGGCTCGACGCCGAGAGACTGACCACTACGGCTGAGCTCAGGTCCGCATCCTTTTCAGTCCATTCCCCGGCTCCCGCGCCGAGAGGATGAACCGGCTTGAAATCCGTAGCGAAGGTGAAGCGGTTCATAACATAACCGCAATTCCAGATGGGGGAGACGTTGGCAAACCATGCCCGGTACTCTTCAGATTGAGCAGACTCGTCGACAAGGTTGTAGCGATTGTAAATGTTTCCAAGTCCCTGCCTGTGCTCGCTGACCTCGCGGAAATGACCTTTGGGTTCGCTCGGGACAAGGGACAAGTCGACCGGATGAGAGGAGGTGGGCCAGTACCCATAAAGCAGGCTCTTAGCCGGGATAGCCTCGATGTTGGACTCGAGCACCCGCGCAAAGCCCCACGCCGGAACGATGCCCCACTCGGCCCGGTCGTTGTACGGTGCCGGCGCATCCAAAGGTACGGGCCAAGTGTTCCACCATTGCAGCATGTCCCCCAATTTCGCATACGAGAGATTGTTGCTCGTGATCCCGATGAGGGATGTGCGGACGCGAATGGAAGAGACGCCTAGCTGCGGCAGCGGTAAATCAAGTGCAACGGTCTCATGTTTGGAGAGGTCGTGCTTTGAAATAACGTGGATTTCGGACACCATTGTGGATGATTTACGCTGGGTTGGGTGTGTGGGGTATGTCTCTCTCAGCTGGGCTGTCGGCTACTATACTCGGCGTCTTCGAAGTAGAAGAGTCGAGGATAATGAAGGGTTCAAGTAATTGACGTAGATTTATCACAGATGCGGTCAAACTCTAACCCGACTTTGTCTCACATCAGCCAGCACTCAGCTTCATTGTGAGATCCAGTATTTTTGTCAGATTTGTCAGAATTCTCCCACCACCGACCCATTACCTTGGATCTAGACTCACCCAAAATGGGCGGAACGTTAGCGTCGGTCAAATCCTCTAAAAATCCTACAATTCGACCACTCAATCCCCAAGACCGAGGATTCCGAAAATTGCCATCAGTCGCCCTGCAGTACCTCGAGGTATGTTGCCAATTGAGTCACCAGCAAGCCATATAAGGAAGTTGGGGAGCGGGGTAAGTCAGCACTATCTCTCTCAACAGCACCCACCAGTAAGTGGGTCTTTCCTCCACTTTTGTTCTGGCGAAGTTTATTGTCAAGGCAGGTCAGTTCGACTTCAGGTCCGAAGCCAACGATTTGCGAGCAATGTGTTGTAAGATGGTTCTATTCAAGTGTTCTATTTTCTCTTTCTCTAAAGCCTTAAGCAGTACCGAATGCCTTCTGGTGTCCGACAAGGGTAAAGCGATAGTGAACTTTGTTCGCCTTCACTCTCTCAACAGCCTCCTTACATCCTGCCTCCGAAATGTCGATAGTCTCAACCCAAGGTGAGATACCCTTCTCAGCAGCCAATTTCAGCAGGGCGTTCATCTCCTGGTTGTTTCCGATATGGCTGCCGGACATCTTGGCAGAATTGCTGGCGAAGAGGCCTGCGGGGAACTGAGGCAAAGGCTTGTCTGGCAAGCCGACCATGTGGAAATGACCGCCGACCTTGAGAGTAGACAGGTAGGTCTGAAGATCAAACTCGTTGGTCATGTCGGAGCAGTTGAGCATGAAGTCGAACTTGAAGGCATAAGGCTTAGCCCAGTCCTTCTTGTTGGTGTCAATGACCTCCTTGGCACCCAGCTTCTTGCAGTCTTCGGCCTTATCCGGCGAGTGGGTAACGGCGTAGACTTCCGCTCCGAGTGCCTTGGCCCACTGCAGACCGAGATGGCCGAGGCCACCGATACCGACGATGGCGACGACGGACCCCGGGCCGACACCACCTCGTACCAAAGGTGAATATGTGGTGAGACCGGCGCACATCAGTGGGCCAGCATTCTCCGATTTTATCGCATCGGGAATCTTGAAGGTGAAGTACTCATGAGCGCGAATGTGACTAGCAAAGCCGCCATGTGCTTGGCTGCCATCCTCATACTTTGCGTTGTAAGTGTCTGGTCAACAGTATTAGTGAGGTTTTTTCGCCAGCACCCGTTCAAATAGAAGAAAATGACTTACCAACCAAATGAGGGCAGTAATTCTCATTTTGTTTCTTGCACTGCTCGCACTTGAGGCATGCCCAGACCTGAGCACCCACACCAACTCTGTCGCCCACCTTGATCTCCTTCACGTTCTTCCCCACAGCAACAGCCTTGCCAACAACCTTGATGGCCATCAACCTCATATTCCGAGACTAAATTAAGGGGAACAAGACATACCTCGTGGCCGACGCACAGGGGACCCTCGTACTCGCCCCAGCCGCCAGTGATAGTGTGAACGTCAGACCCGCAGACGCCGCAGCATTCGATCTGCACATCAATGTCGTGATCCTCAAAGGGTTTCGGTGTGAGAGTTTCTTTGGTGAATTTGTTCCACGAGCTAGGCCCTGCGGTGCAGAAACCGGTGAACTTCTCTGGATAACTCATTTTGACGGATTACTTCGGTTTTTATGACAAGAGTTGGCGTTTCTAGATTTTACTGCCTCGATTGCAAGTCGAAATGGTACTACATTTGCCAATGATTGCACTCTACTTCTGCTTATATACTCACGAAGACAATTGATGACGCTCGGATTGCCTCAATCTTCCCCGCGTCAGAGCTCTCACTGCTGCAGCCAACGTAGCCAAACTACAGCTGGACCTCGGGCGCACAATTCCAATTGCTTATTTTGTGGATAGGGTACATGGATGAATGACGTCTATGAACTTCCCACTAACTTCTCGGTAGGCGCCGAATTGATCGCGCTAAGTCAGGAGATAAAGTCCCAGGTGTGACAACCGGTGGCGCTTCGAGAGCTAGCTTCCCCCTTGGCTTCCTTGAGCGAATCGATTGCCGGATTGGGAGACATGCACTACATGCTAGAAGCCTCATGACGACAGTCTTTTTTCATCGACTCGGCCCGGCAGCTCAGAATCAGTGCTGCTGCAAGTCCTCGTAGGTCTGGAACTTCAATGCTGCCGATCCAAGTTGAAATGCCGATTCGAGCGATGACAAACGCAGGCCCAGGGCCTCATTGGAGGTAAACCAGGGTTCCACCAGAATATCTAGACCGATGCGACGACACCGACTACGACAAATATCCATCCCAAGATCCAGGCAACCTACACCAGCCTTTTACTTCGGAAAGAAAAATGCGGCAAAACTAAAATACCGTGATCTAGAGAGTCTGGGCCAACAAAGCTGCTTGATAGTTTGTGCGTAGGAAGATTGAACAGCGCAGACTATCTTATAAATAAGCGGGCTTCCAGACCAGAAATTATTCACAGCAGAGGTCTTCGAAAAAAGGGCGAAAGAGTTAATGACTGTAACCAGGATTTCAATTGCAGGGAGAACGCTTCTTGACTGAAGAAGAAGTGCCAATGGACATCTTGGCGTATGACCTTGACTTATCCCCAATCCCTTTCCTTTTATCACTGGACTGCTGAACCTCATACCGTCTCAGCAGACACTTTGGCTCACTCGATTTAGCAGTTGTCGCGGCCAACGACAACACTCCAGTTATCCTTGTGCCACGTTTGACCATCGATCCACTCGCCATTGGTCTTGCAGACTTGAATGATATGATCCGTACCGTCAGCAATCAGAGCGTAAGAATCAAGCTCTCGAGAAGTCTGTGCCTGCGAAAACTTAGCTTCGAATAGTTTTTTGAAGATGGTATTCCTTATTTGCTTACATGATTACACCACCAAATTGCAGACTTCCAGCTGCAGCTCACACGAGCGCAGGTCTTAGGCCCAGGTGGGTGGTAAGGCTTTCCCTTGACGCCTCTGAGGTACTTGGCACCCTTGACGATGATATTCTGATCAGCCATAGCTTTGGTGACGTTGCACGCGAAAGCGGCGCTGTCAAAGTCGTTACGCTTGTGAACCGCAGGAGAAGGAAGCTCAAAATCGAGATTAAAGTCTTGCGCATAATTGGGGTTGATGGCCTGGAGCTCCGCAAGAACCTGCTCAACCGTTCCGGCAAGTATCAACTTCGCGCCTCTAGGGGCAGCCTGAACCTCCCACTGCGGGATGATGATATCGAAGCCATCGATAGGGGTCTGAAGCCCCGAGACTTGGGTTTGACTGGGAAGAGCAGAAGCCTGGTTCAAGTCAGTAAACAAAATTTTGGGGCCAAGGGAGGGAATATCCTACGCTGACTGCGAACATGGCAGTGTAGATAAAGACCTTGCTGAAATGCATCTTGGAGGGTGTGACGGTTAGTAATGAATAAAAATGGTAGTGTAGTTTTGCTGGAGTTTCAGGATTGCCTCGTTGGGTGCAGTTGTGGTAGCATATGTTACGAAATGTTGAGAATGAAGCTGACGGTTCTGCCCTGTCCTCTTATACGCATTTCTGCCTCCCAGAAGCCTTGAATGAATAGGCTGAAGGGTAGGAGCGAGGGATTCATTGTCTATGCCAGATAACACATAAGTGATTCAGTGTGATGTGGCCATGATGTATCTATCACCAAGGACATGCGAATATTGTATTGCATTCATGCCATTGATTCTGATGTAGCACCTAAGACCAGAAGTCTTGTGGCACCTTGGGTGCTCCAGTTCCAAAACATGTTACGCTTATTGCCCGGGAGACGAATGTTGACCACCATGATTTGTCCACTAATGTAGTAATTCGGGAAGCACAATGCGTAACAAAGATAATGAAGTGGCAAGCGAGTAACAGGAGATATAGCGGCGCTAATGGATTATACATCTTTTTCCCCAATACGTCATGAAACTCCGGCAAGCACCGTTCTACCGAGGCATATTTAGGTAAAGATTTATTGAAATAGATACTATGGCCGGCATGATAGATATAGAATAAGAGCGAACTCGCCAGGACTTGCAAAGTCAACCTGTCGCAACTGTCTCACGTGCCTTCTTCTTGTCGTCAGGGTACTGCACCGACATGTACCTCAGATCGCCCGTCATGCCAATATTTCCTACCGGATTGAGGCCAAGCCACTCCTTCAGCTCCTCGCTGCAGGTGTCCTGAACTTCCTTGGGGAGCTTAGCAGTCCAATTCACCTGCTGGCGCATAAATGGTGCAGTGTAATAGCCAAACAGAAGTGCGCGATCCTGGTCCTCGGTGACGTTGCTGCCAGAAGTGTGCCACACGCGACCATCCATGACAATGATGTCGCCAACTTTGGCTTCAAAAGGAACCAGCATCTCGGGCGCGTTCTCAGGCACCTCTTTGCGATACACCCACTTGTTCGACCCAGGGATATACTGCGTTGCACCGTTCTCTTTATTGACATCCGTCAGGCACCAGATGACGTTGAGCGCCCAGACGTTCTGCCACGGATCGGGAAAGACGATACTCTGGTCCGAATGCAGGGCCATACTCTGGGATCCGGGCCGGGCAATGTTCGCAGTGAAGTTGCTAATGAGGAAGTTCTCTCCCAGCACAGCCTTGACCATGGAGATGGCAGTCGAGTGCGATACAAGCTCTCGGAAGATCTTGTCGAGCTCTAGCAAGTAGAATACCCGCACGTTGCTGGGGTTGGGATCCAGGAACGACAGGTATGTGTCCTCGCCACGAGCTTCAGCCGCTTCTTTGGCCTTCCATAGCCGGTCGAGTACGCCGGCAGCCTCTTCCGCTGTGAGAACCGACGGGACACGAACCCATCCGTGTTCTCTGAGGTGAGTCTTTGCCTCTTCGAGGTCGAAAGCCATGTTGATGACAGGCGGTATGAAGCATATATCCGTCTATTCCGGGGCCGTGCTGCCTCAAGAGATATCTTCAAGAGACCTTCAAGAGAACAGATTAAGAAACTCGAAACCCTCTGGAAACAGAATGACAGTTTATGTAGCAGCGACGATGAGAACTTGGAGTGCTCCCAACACTTAAACAGAAAACAAATGAAAATGAACGGATTGAATCAAAGAGAACGGGGGTGAACTCAACACGTATTCCCGGATTTAGTTTTCAGAAGCAGGCTCTGCCAACCCCGCCTCTGTGCATGTTACCCTCGCATCGATGCAGCTTACCGCGAGTGACGACTTGCCCCTACCCAATAGTACTCACGTACTTTACATATGATCGACATTCGTTGAGCCACAAGCAGAATGCACGGGGTCGCCCAGTCGCAATATTGATAAGAGAACCGCGTCAGGCATACAATGTGAGTGGATGCACTTAGTCTTGCAACAATATCCGTAGGTAACTATAATTAGGTTACAATATGAGTGAGTTGACACTGTTGCTCATGGAGATCGCGGTTCAGGGTCGCCGGCACAGATATTTGATGTAACAGGAGCTCTTGAACGCACGTGCACGGGTTGTTGAAACTTGAAGCAGCATGAAGATATTGGCACACTGCTACTCGTTGCACAAAGATTGGCGCTTTCAGTCCTTGAACCATCCGGAGCTTTGCCAAAGGTCTTAGTTCCGACGACTATCGATGATCATTAAGAACACATGAAGCTAAAGTTCATGTAACTCTCTTAGTTACTAGTCTTGGGTCGCCTCATCCACCAGTACGTCTGTTTACGCCGTGCGGCGAACTCATCAGGTACGGGACATACATAATGGGGGCCATCAAAGCCCTCGGATGCGTAAAGTCTTCTGCCTCGATCCGAACCTTCTACGACCGCCTATCTCACTTGATCAGCCTTCGACCTTTTCTTGATGAGACAACATAAGAAAGCAAAGCCTTGACTCACATCGACCCCCATCTCGTCAGCAATAGCAAGGCCGGCTTTCACTAATAGTCTCCCCGCACCCTGACCTTGGAACTCAGGATCGCACATCAACATATCGAGTGCTGTAGCTCGCGTTAATGAATCAAAGCTAAGCTTCCGATTTTCAAGTCAATAAGATATGAATTTCTCCAACGTACCGACCAATCTCGCTCCACTATCCTCGATAGCTCGTTGTCTCGGCGCAAGGAACCCACGAAACAGAGCTTGTGCAAACCTCTTTTCCTCGTCGTTCTTCCAGTAGTCACCAGAAAGCTCAGGTGACGGCGGGACAGGGCCGCCCTTGTATATGTTCCACTTTGCAGCAGCGACCATCTTGCCGGTGTCTGTGTCGATGCATTTGAGGAAAACGCTGTAAGGATCCCCGCGAAACATGGCGAGCATGCGCGAGCTACCCAACTTGCGGCCTTCAGGGCTGCTATGTGCAGGGAAGACCGCATCGACGAATTCGTGGTCGTTGGCAAAGGCCAAGGAGACTATCTCAAAGACGCGGGGGATGTCTTCCTCGGTGCATTGCTGGACCTCTAGGTGCACCTTTCGGCTGTGCATAGTCACTTCTGAATATGCTGATGAATCTCATGAGGAGGAATGGTTCGTGAATGGCATCGAGGTGTTTAAGTCAGGCTCAGTGCCATTGAAATGTTTGTTCTGATTGAAATCTCTTCTTATTCGTTTCATACCTGCGTGCGGGGCATGAGATATCCTTAAACATTTTGAGTTCTCTTGACATCATTCCGAGTTCGGTCGTCTCAAATAGGCGAGTTGCAGACGAGACCGAGCTCCACGGATCCGCCTTCACAACGGCGAAGACGCACCGTTTGTCTCTTCGCTATCACAGTGCAGGTCTTGACACAACTCATCAACCGCAACTAAACGCGGGCATATCCGATATTCTCTGGTTCCCGGGGGGGACATCATAGGAGAGAAATAGGTTCGAATTAGAGCGAAGATGTCGTAGAGATGTCGGCGGTTCTATGACTAGTCTCCTTACCATCTACGGGTGTGGATAGTGGCTCTGGTTTTGATGTAATGCCTGTTGACCATCGAATGATACTAGAAATCTGAGTTTCTCGGTCGATCCTCGATCTAACTTCCATCTTCTCCAGACGTTAATGAGTGATAGCGACGAGATATTCGATGTCGTGAACTCAAAGGCGACTGGAGCTGAACGGTCGAGAACAGTGATTGGATGCAATTTTCCCGTCGCGATCGGGAATACCTAGCTTCTGCAGCAGCCACCACATTCTCCCTTTCAATAGGAAGATTCGCTCCGTCAAAGTGGGAGATCCTTTGAGGCTGAGGAAGTCTCAAAGACGGCGCTGAAGCGTATGATTGGCTAACAGAACTACCATGTGCTGTTTTGGGTATCCCTTGGACGCATTGAGTCTAGACCACTCGGTAGGGTCATGGCAAATTCGCTGTGTTGCGGGCACATGTAAGCCTTCCTTGGACAATTCTCCTCTTAAAGTTTGTGGGTTGTCCAATGTCGGCCAAGTGGGATATACTAGACCCCCTGTCCTAGGTGAGATTTTGAGACAGGAGCTTGGGGGTTGACCGGTGATCCTTCGAAGGATTCTGCCTTACAGCGCTAGTCGACCAAATCCCAGACGATAGCCGGAACTTCGGAGTGATATCCAGCAGGCAGCGGCAATTGGCAGTTGGTTTAAAACGGTTTCTCCCCCATCGAAGCTTACGCAAGTCCCAATCTTACACATTGTCTCGAAATGGACTCTTCACATTCGCAACCAAAGTCCGCTGCATCGAGCTCCAACTCCATGTCGTCGAGTCCGGACCCGGCCGATGGGCTTGCCCCGCTGCCGACCGTGAGGCGCGGGAAGAAGAGGTACGCCGCTTGTGCCAACGTTCGTACTGTCGTTCTCGTCTAATATGGGACTGCAGAATCCCGGGAATGTCTCCCCAGATGGCCACATTTTCTCTAGGGAAGCGACCACGAGTTAAGAGAAGTTGCGCTGGCAAAGTACGATCGGGCTGCATTACGTGCAAGTACGTTGCTGCACCGTCTTGGCTCGTGTTCGATGCTGACCCTAGACTTCTAGACGGCGACACATCAAATGCGATGAAACTCGCCCCTTTTGTCTGAAGTGCACCAAGTCACCCCGAGGGCCAGGCGTATGTGAAGGCTATGAATTCCAGCAGAAGCAGCCAGATCGTCAAACTCATCCGCGCCTGATCATCTCAAAGGGGACTTGGCGGGTCTGGCCTGCCGCTGTCCTGAGGGAACCCGGCTACGAGTCTGCATTCTTCAGCAACCCGCAGGAGAAAGTCTACTTTGACTTTTGGCAGCACCTCGTGGCTAACATCTATCTCTTTCCCAACGACATCATGGTCCGCGTCGTACCACAGCTGGCGCGCCGTGAGCCAGCCATCAAGCACGCAGCCCTCGCCATGGCTGGAATGGCCCGCGCCCTCGTTCCATCACTCGTCAGGCGATCCCGGAAGGAACTCCACGATAACGGACCGCACTACGAGTTCGCTCTACAACAATACGGTCGCGCGATCAAGCTTGTGCGAAGTTCTCAACCATCAAGCGAGAACATGCTCTGGGCAATCGTCTGCTGCGTGCTATTTGTCACATTTGAGTGTCTCCACGGCGACCGCAACGCTGCGTTGTCGCATGTGAACCACGCTTACAAGATGATGGAAACCTACTTCAACCAGCGCTCTATGGTCGAGGACGGTCCTGTGACAGACTCTATCCGCGCAGTGTGCGACGATGCTGCGTGGGTGTTTCAGGGTCTCACGATGCAGGCCTGGTCGCACAATGTGCTACACTCCAAGGATGCTTCGCAAATTAGCTGGTGTTGTCGGGGCAGCAAGCGTACTTATGCGGTTGAGGAAATGCCACCCATCTTCACAGACGTCCACATGGCACGGCGTTGGTGGAGAGTCGTGCAGCATTACACGTGTCATAGATGTCCCATCTACACGGAAATGTTCGTCGACGGACTCTCAAAAGAGATGTTGGTGGGCAGCTATGTACGACCAGCTTTATCTCCGAGTCACTTGGATGAGCTGGCCGCTGTGCTTCCTGAGTTCCTTGGCCATCTACGTCGTTGGCAGAATGCCTTTCAAGGTGTCTACGACACACTGCGGGCGAACCAGGAACACGACTTCCACGCCTATGTGGATGCCTGTAACTTGCGCGTGCAGTACCTCACTCTCTGGACTGATGTCTCAAGTCTGAGCTACAAGGATATTAAGATGATGATCATGCTGACGCCATCATTCCGCGAAATGGTCCAGCTTAGTCGTATCGTTCTGTCGGCGCAACAGAACTGCGGCGGATGCACTGAGACTTTCAGCATGGACAACGGCCCCACTCTGCCATTGTTGGTTATTGCGTGTCGATGTCGAGAGGATAGCGTGAGACGAGAAGCGATAGAGTTGTTGGGGAAATTTAACCGCCGAGACGGGCTTTGGGATAGCAGGGCTTTCCACAGTGTCGCACTGAAAAACGTGGCGATTGAGGCGGAAAACGCGAACGAAGGCGACGATACTGAACAGTGGTCACGCATGTCGAGACGTGAAGTGCGCTTCAGTCGCGAAGGGGATGTGTTCGGCAGAATGTTCAGATGGCAGCCGGATGTGAAGGAGTGGAAACACGTTGAGGAATCTTTGTCAATGGTCTGTCAGGAAGCAGTTTCGTTGGCAACGTAGCTTGGTGTATTAATGAATAGGAAGTAGTCTCATACTTTTTGAGGTTCGAAATTGCAGAGAACGATTATGTTCATCAAGCAAGAAGATTGACCGTGCCGTGAATTACCTGGAGCCCGCTGCCCAACTCCAAACGTTCCTAAATCCATCGTTTCATCCGGTCATCAGATCATCTTCTCCTCGTTCTGATACAGATCATTGACCCTCCACAATGTCCAGAGCTCCCAACACCAACTTTCGCATTTCCGGGGTGATGGGAACCTGATGAAGACTGTTGCCGGTGGCCCAAACCCCGATCGAGTGCTCTTCCCTCTCGATTCGAACTCTGTACCCTCGACCGTAACGACGTAGCTCAGCTGAAGAGCATGGCGCTTCACGATCTTCTCTTGCGCTGTTGGTGTTCTCTCGAGCTTGTCCGTGGTGTGTCGTATAGGAGACAACGGAGACACAATATTCAGCATCTTTAAATATGTCTCTTCGGCAACCTCGCGTATGATGGCGTCACGAATATTATAGTCCGTTGCGTCGACCTTTCCTCCGGGTATTTCGAAAACGTCTGGGTAGTGTGTCTCGTCGGGGTTGCGCTTGAGGAAATGGATGCTGTGGTTTGAAGTGTGATGGCGCAAAATTGCCGCTCCCACCGTCACTTTGTCGACTACGGTCGAAACGCTTAATTTAAAAAAAAAAAAAAAAATTAAGAAAAAAAAATAACGTGAACTCCCTCACGCGGCATCGACAGAAATTCCATGATTCGGTTCTTGCTGCCTGATCGGGGGAACGTAGGTAAAGTGTACTTTGTGGCTATCTATTGAGACGCTAGTGGGTTCCGACTGGTGACTGCACGTAGACAGAAGGAATGCGGTTCAAGGATCAAAGAAACCCCAGATATAGTGTATATAATCTGTTTCCTCCGTATGGTGGCACTGTAGCTGGTCCGTTTCCTGTCTCCGTCTCTAGTGTACTCTGTGCTGTCTGAGCACCATACAATCGTTCGCCTATGACTCAGGTATGTGCACATCCAGGTATCACAATGTACTACGAATTAAGCTTGCCTCGGCGCCACCGGGTACACGCCTGATTCCTTCACAAATGCATACATCTATCAAGGTTCTCTGAGTACTTGAATACGGCGTCTACTTAGGCAGGTAGGCTTGATGACCCCGGCAGTCTTCCTTTATAATTCTAGGTAGTAAACAAGTCAAGCAGCCGGCCTGGAGGGCGATTGAAGATGATTATCAAAAGTTTTTCTGTATAGTTCTATACAACTGAAATGGCGCTGGGGTTTGAAGGCTCAACTATCGTTGAGGCTTGTCACAAATCACACGGCGCCTGCCCTATTGGCGTAATGACCGTCATTTTCTGATGAAACCCAAAATACCTAGATCCTCTCAGTCCATCCATATAGAGTGACTCGAATAAGGGGGTGGCCGCAAGGGGGGGTCCAGTCCTTGATAGCTGGAAACCAACTCCTGCAGCTCGGCGCAATCATCTTCGAACCAGACCTGAAAGAAGTCTCCCAGAAGCAAGTCTATACTTCCTTTCCCGCTTTCTTTTTGGAGCCGACTAAATCTGGATGATCCTCCCTCCAAGCTACCGACGATAGGAAGATTGCCAATGATTTCATACCATCGTGTCGCTCCAGTCCACCAAAAGGATAGTGCCCCCCGATCGTAGTGAACCCAAATGTTGGGATCCGCACCGTGAAGGAGAAACATCTTGATGCAGTCGTAAAGCTTTGTGAACATCATCGATGCAATTATCCATGTTTGCCAGCAAGTAAAACCAGATCCCCGATTATCTCTGAATAAAGATTCTCCATTGGGATCGGCCCCTGCTTCAAAACATTTGGATATATATTCGCAAGGCCTCATCGTATACCGTGGCGGTGACCCTGAAATACGATTCATTTGGGAGATTCTGCAAGCCTCATACAGGCAGAAGTCAAGAAGTTCATTGTAATACGTTTCGCGTTTGCTTCGACGTCCCAATTGGTAAAATCCACCGTCCAGGCTGATCGGCAATGAGTCTGCAAAAAGATTGATGCAAACACCAATGCCAAGGCTTCCATCAGTCTCTGTAGCGTAACATAGTTCAGATGAATCAAACGAGATCCATATTCCACTTGCTACGTTTGATCTGATACTTGGATGCGGGATTTCGATCTCTAGAATGCGAATCAAATCTTTGAGAGAATTTAGCAGGCGACTTTGAGCTAACTCATGCATGGGACGTTGATCTTGTATAAATCCCGTAATGATTGGGCCCAAGCTTCTCTTGACGAAGCCCATGCAAGGGCGGAACAGTTTCAAAGAAGCTAAGAAAGCTTGAAGGCGGAAATCAGCCCAGTCAAAAGAATGGGCATCAGCATCAATGAGTTTCTTTATATCTGGCTGGAAAAAAAACTCGATCACGGACCGATGTGCGAACTTAATCCGCTCCCTCGATGGGTGGTCATGATTGATCCTGTACTTGTCGCAATACCATGCATGTGTGTGCAGAAATCGATCGTCACCCTCATCGATGATCTCAAGATCGTCTTCTCGATGGATTCGTGCAGTACCGTTCTGCAGGCTGCTCTCGATGTCGTTATTGAGATTTTCGCTTATTCTGTATTTATTCTCTTCCCGTGATGTGATTTGTGTAGGCTGAGAATAACCGAGGTCGCATACACCCCTCATCAATCGTGGCCGAGCATCCTGTCCAGAAGATTGTACCTCGAGAAGACCCATGCAACGTTGGTAAATCGATCGTCTGGCTCTATCTTGTCTAGAGACCCAAGTTTCAGTGGTGCTGGTTGCGATCGGAAAGCTGATAACGAAATTGGGATTCTTCTCATAATCATCTAAAAACGTAAGGTCTGTGAGCAGCAGGGGTGCAGAATTCAACCCATGAAAGGTACCCTCCGCTGCAAGGAGAATCATTCGCATCGCTCTCATTCTATCCAGTTTATTGGTGTGGCTTCCAGTTCTGATAGAGGCTAGAATTGACGCGAAGAGTTTTTCAATGTCTGTAGGCAGCGCTTCGAGTCTGACTTCGAGATCTTTCAGTCGCTCCCCGGAAAGAAGTCCCCATTTAAGACCTCTCAAGGCAATTTTTACCCAGAGGAATACGCCTTCGGCTTTGTCACTGATCCGATGTATGAGTTCTCCAACTCTTGGGTTTTCCGAAGAATAGGATTTGAATTCCTCATTTTCAGACAATTCGCTGTTGACGTACGCTTCAATATCTCGGCTCGTAACGTCCTGGAGGCGAATTCCGGGGAGGTTGATCAGCCTTTGTCGAAAGACCTCCCATTCGCGGCTTGAAACACACAGTTTGATATCTTCTGGGACACTCTCAGCCCAGCTGCGAATCATCTTTATCATCTTCTCGTGGTCTCCATCAAATTCATCCAGGCCGTCGATGAAGATTGCAATCTTGTGTGAGGAGAAGAACGCCATTTGTCGCAGAAGACTCGAGAAGGCGGACTCGATCTCGGAGCTCTGGATTGAAAATGCTCTTCCTTGAGAAGCGTTACTCCACTGCTCTGGGAAAACGGTCTCGAGAAGAGCCGGGGCTTTCTCCAGAATAGAGTATACAAGCGCCCGAAGCAGCCCATCTAATGACTTTTGAGCTGTGGACCCAAGCTTCCAGAAGAAGAAGTGTGCCGAAATCAGCGTCTTGTCTCCAGCCCAGTCTTTGAGATAGGATTCTGCAGCTGTACTTTGGCAGAGGTACTTCATAAGTGTCGACTTTCCGGCACCAGGTTTGCCTGAGATATGGAAGATGCCTCCACCATGAGACAACCAGTCTATCAGACCTTGTTGTGCTTGGAGCTCTTTAGGGGTTCGCCCCAAGGACATCTGTGGCTCAAAACCAGATCCCTCATCGAGAAAGCCGTCCGATCTTGCAACAGAACCCGGTGTCTCATACTGATCGGAGTTCTGGCCGTTTTTTTTCGGTGACTCATTGTCCACTCGAGGCACATGGGTTGATCCATCGCTGTGGCTGAAGTCGAACCCATCGATCGAATCGGACTCGCTTGTGGACGGTATATCCGAGTCCAAAAGCCAGGAGAATGTCTTTTCGTGGGCGCGTTCAATCTCATCGAACCTCCTCGTCATGTCTCCGACAAAGAGCTTCTCCAAAATCAGACGTTGGGCAGTGCCTTCGACAGCCTCCTTCGAGCGAGACAGGATATCGTTGGCAGTTTCCACCAGACCCGGGATTTGTTTCCACAGCTCAACGTTGGATTGCAGTTCCTTGATGTTTTTGCCCAAATGCTGCATTTTAGTCGCGTTGATGTGTCCTTGGGCCGAAATCTCATCGAGACGGCGACTCAGTTCCGACCTAGGTAAGGAAAAGAGAATTCATTAGCTGGCGCACGCGTCCATTTCCGTGTTTTCAAACCAAAGCTTCTTACCTCGTTAGTTGAGTGAGTTGCAAATGAATCCTGGATCTGCAGTCATCCAACTGTTTCTGGAGTGTCTCCTTTTCATCCTTCTTCCGGAAGTCCTTGACCATCTTCGATAGAATGTGGCGCTTTTTGGTCGACTTGAGCCCAGCCAAGAGGGTCATCAGTTGAACTGTGAGGCTCTTGTACTCCTCAACGAGATCCAGCATCTGAGCTTCATCCTTGTCTCTCGCTGCACCAACACCCTTCGTATTGAGACCCGCGACGTGTTCCTCGACAAGTTTGACTCGACGCTCCAGATCAGCGTTGTCTTTGAACGTCGCGGACCCAGTCCGCTCAATCTCCCGTGCCACCGTAACATTCTCGGCCGCGAAGTCGATGAAGGTTATGATGGCACTGACGAGGCCGATGATCTCGAGTGGGGTCATATTTCCGTAACGCCAGAGTCGTAAAGCCAACGAGGGGGAGGAAGGAAGGTGCTGCTAGGTTGCGCAAGAGTGCAATTGCGTCCAGGGCCTCGAAGGGCACATCCGCCAGGCGCGTGTGAGAGTATCTCGTCTCCGTACCAAGCGATGCCGAGAAAGAAGTGAAGTGAACGAAAGTGAGGGGTATTTGGCAGAAGCGTTTGGGAGGGGAGCAACAGAGAAGCTTCCCTGGAGCAGGCTCTCTGTCAGACCCCGCGATTCTGCCTGCAGAATAAGCCCTGATTGAGCCAATGATTGCAAGAGCTGAAGCAGCGAGGTTGCTGCAAATTGCTATTCTCGGTGTGAATCTGACCAATCGCAGCTTCTATTCTGAAAGTGAGGCATACTTCCCAGGCGACCAACGGCGAGATGACACTGCCTCTTCTTTCATGTGCTACCTACATGCTGCCCCGTTGTTGCTACTGTCCTAAGTATTCCATCAACTGCTAGAATTGTCATTACATGTGCCGTCTCCAGTCTTTCTCCAACTTTCATCCTATGTTTGATTATTCATGGACGAATATGATGGAAATAGGGTCTGGTGGGTTAGTTATACCTCTCGAAGAGGTATGGACACATGTATTGACGCCATCTAGCAATTGATAGGCTATTTCATCTCAAAGCTGTGATATTTGATGAGATTAAAGATTCCTCTCAACTACACTCACACCCCTTCATTGACCCTCGCACAACCCTAATCCGAGTCAATCACGATAACCTCAATCTCCCGTACTTCCTTCGAGACATGTGTTGATACCTCTGCCTCATCTCTCTCCCCAGACTCCATCTTCAACCGAGCCTCCAACCACCCCCCAAACCCAGCAAACATCCCAACCCCCTTCCACTTCTCACAAAACGTCCTCATAGCCTCCATCCTCTCCCTCTCAACCTCCTTCATCCTCCCCTCCATCCACCTTCCTCCCCTTCCCCCCTCAACAACTCCCATCTCCCCCAGACCCCAGATGAACTTGGCCTCACAAACAGGACAAAAGTACGGCGGCTGTCTCGAGTCCTCACCCAACCCACCCGTACCCTGCATGACGCAAGCGTAGTAAACACAGTGATCCATCCCAAGACAATGACCAACTTCATGAACCGCTGTCCTTGCAACACGTGAAAACCACATGCCGTACAAATCCTCCTCGGCCTGCTTCTTATTCCGCGATGCTTCCCTCGGAACAAGAACGTTCCTCGACGCGGAAATAGCAGCCCCCATAGCCGTCTCCTTCACCTTCCTAAGATCAACAAGAATCTCACCACCACCATCCTTCTTCCCCTTCCCCTTCCCTTTGCTTGTTTCCCCCTTCTCCTTCCCATCCACCTCCGTCCCACCTCTCCCATCCTTCTCCCTCTCCGTCTCCTCCTGCTCCTCCCACCACTCACACGCCTCCCTCACAAACCGCCCACAATGACTCGCAGGCCACCCATGCCCCCTCTCAACCCCCATAACCCCATCCATCGCAGGCCGATACCGAAGCGAACTGACCGTACAAATCCTACTCCCCCCAAACGCTCTCCCACAACAGAAATCGTCGTCTTCATCTTCGTACAGATCCTGCGCGATGAGCATACACGCGGCGTACGCATCGGCCGGGAGAACCCCCGAAAGCGCGTCGAGGAGGTCGTTGAGGTTGAGTTGGTATTTGGCGAGGCCGTCAGGGGAGGCACGGCATCGGATTCCGACAACTGCTGCGTTGGCGGAAGATCCGGTTGCGAGACCGACCATGAACGGCTTTTCCTTCGCCCTCCCGCGAGGAACGCCCTCATCATCCCACTTGACGAACCTAAACGCAGTAGGTAGAACCCTCACCGGAAGAGGATGATAAAACGCCTCAAAGTACGAGACCACATCCTCAACCCTCGGCTGCTTCAACCTCCCATCCAAACCACTCGTCGCAACACCCTCCAAAACAGGGACATCCCACCCCCTCATAACCGCATCAACACCCCCCTCGCACCCCGGAAAATCAGCAACATACAACGTCCTCTTCCCCCCCGTAATCCGATTCCTCCACTCCCCGTTGGCCCACGCCCTCAAACTCTGCGGCGGATACCGCGGTTCCAGCGCAAGGTCGTCGTCGGGGAGAACAAGCGGGCCGGGAAAAGTGGAGGGGTCGGGCGGGAGTGGGAGCGGTGGTGCGGGGACGTCAGACCCAGATCCGGAGCCGGAGCCGGAATCGGCGCCGCGGCCGGGGTTATTGGAGTCGGGGGAAGTGGAGTTGGAGGTACCGGCATCCGCAACCGGCACAACCCTCCCTGACCGCGTCGTCGCGGCGACGCGTTTCTCAACGGGTACGCGGAGAAACCCCGCCCTGGAGCGGCCGTAGTCTGAAGCGTCGACGATGATGGATGTGTGTTGGCATGTTTTGGGCTGTTTGCGGGGTGCCATGGTTGTGTGTGTCTGTAAGTTGGACGGTCAACATTCCAACATACAGGTGAGAGATGCGGTGAGTTGACTTATAGACGATGTCCTTGATCATCCACGTTCGCCGGCTTTGCTGTGCCGTAGGATGAGTCACAATCAAAATTCAAAATTCATCCAGGTAAATATTTCCCCCATCGCTCAAGGGTACGAGGCGATTCACGAAGAGGTTGAGACGAATACTCGGTGGGGGCCAAACGACCCCGCTTTTGGCGCTGCTGCCTACGATCCGCAAAAGCCACCAGACTCGAGTCGCCCTCTGCTGCCATTCTTTTCACCTCACCTAACCTCACCTTACCTTGCCTTGCCTCGAATTACGTGGGCTAGCTACCTTAGCTAGCTCCTCGAATTCATGAAACATCTACTTAGAACAGTCCGCCTTGTGAATCCCAATGGCGCACCATGCAGCATTGCCTCGCAATCCATCCCAGTCGAGCCATGCTCAAAATCCCTAGGAAGATGAGACAGAGAACGCCTCGTCCAGGTTACGCCTCCGTCGCCCAAAGAGCATCAGACTCAAATCTACAACACCTCCCTCGCAGCTCCGCCAGTTGCTGCTCTCAAGCGGAAACCATACAACCAAGTCAACAACAATGAGCAAAATACCGAGGAATCTATACCAAGGCGAGAGGACGTCCGAAAAGCAAGCCTCCTACATCACATCCCATCCGAGCAAGGCGCCTCGGTCCCAAAGAACCTCCAAACCCTCACGTATCCTGTCCCTCTCTCACCTTCAAAAATGCCACAGCTCAACCTACCTTCGGACCCGGCATCCGCGGAATCTATCCCTCTGGCCTGCCAAACCCTCAGACAAGGGGGCAAAATACTGCTCACGCTCATGCTCAGACAGCGAAAGACAGGCGCATAGATCCTCTCGACCCTCGACCCTCAATCCTCAACCCTCAAAGCTCTACCCGCGGAGAGAACCCTTATCAGTCTTTCAACCTTCAGCCCAACTACCTTAAGCCCAGGCACCAAACGGGAATGAAAAGTGTCAAAAGGGCCAAAAGGGCCAAAGAAAGGGTAGTCAAAACGCTTCTCCAGCGAAAAGAGACAGACACACCCGCGCTCGGCCAGGTCTAGACCTCATCCTCTGTGCTGTCATCTCTGGTTGTTGCCTCGAGGCTTGTGCCCTATGCTCAGTGTCTCGCAGCATTTCGTGCATGTGCCGCGATTCGACATGTCGCCTCCGATGTCGCGCTTGCGCTTGAGCAAACAAACCAGCATAGACCTCTTCTGCCTCCTCTTCCTCCTCCTCCTCCTCTCTGGGATAATTACGCTGCGACGAAGAGACCCGCGCCCGCACCGCCGGGACCGCAAATCCTTCCTCCTGCAACCACATGGACCGCGCGACCCACCACCGCGGGACTATCGTCCGTCCCGCATCCACATCCGCCGTCCGCATCCGCCGGTTCGTTGCAGCGTGGAATACCGACCCTATCTCCCCGTCGCGTCTATTGCAGAACCCGGCATCGCTCATCCTCCCCTTCTGGAATCAAGCCTCCTTTCTCGCGGGACAATTACCCCAAGAGCAATGATCACGTCAATGCAGACAAAGAGCCGGCCTTCAGAACCATCGCGCTGTGCTCACCGATCAAGCTTGGCCCATCAGACGCCCGCCATCTCTGCCCTTCCCTTCCCGCCCGTCCCGGGGCACACCACCCATCAATCACATCTCGTCACTGATTGCGCGCCCCGTCCCATCCCGCGGTTTGCCTCCCGTTGGCCGGGCGAATGACGCGACGCCACACATACTTGGACATCCAGAAGCCAAATAGCAACCAGGCCTTTATCTATGCCGTCTGCCTCGGGGGCAATTCCTTCAATCCATTCTCCTGATGATTCGCGCGCATTGAGATTCTCCCACATTCAGTCAAGTCGTCCTAGCCGATCATGCCTCGGCAGATTTTCGTACGCGTCGTCGCGTGAAAGCAACAGAAAAGCTAGACCGTCGCAACATCTCGTGTAAAAGTGTTATTGACAACCCAAAGAACCATGAAAACACACACAAAGTGTGTAAGCTCACCACACCACACGCGTCGCCCGCGTCGCGGTTGGGAGTTCTCGACTCTGTAAGAGCAAAGCGCAAAAAGTTTCCCGGCTCTGAAACCAGCCCGTCTTCCCCGGAATCCCACCTCCGCGAACCGCGGCACCAACCACGCTGACCGAGCGCATCCCACCCGCATCGACCGTGAACACCCAACGCCAACGTCCACACCCCCTCCATCCCATCCTTTTCCCCCTCGAAGGAGAGACGAACGGTCACTCCAATGAACAGATGTCGTCTGCAGAACATAAGATCATTCCGTCTCTTCCCACCATGACGGAGGGAGCGCAGAGTTCAGCTCGCACATCGCAGGGTCCTGCTCGTGCCTGAACCCAAAAAAGACAGTGAGCCCTGTCCTGCAATGCTGCATCCGAGGCACAAACCGGACGTGGCATCGCTGCTAGCCACACGTGGTCCAATGGGGGAGCGAGGGTACCTGGCCAGTGACGGGGTGTGATGTGATGGCCGCGGCGGCAACATTACCAGCAGCAGCAGCCGCAGCAACAGCAGCAGCCGTGGCATCGTGTCGAAGGATCACCCTCATTCCCGACGGTTGTTGAGTGGCAGAGTAGCAGTGCACTGCGTTGTGCCTGACATGCCGTTGGCCAAATCCTTTCCCGAGTCCGCGGACTACCGCCAACGGCCATAACGCTACATCTCGAAGGTGCCAGCCAGAAGATATCCGTGTCGTCACCAACGACTCCCCCTTCACCAGTTGGGCCTAAGGTGAAGTTGCAATAGAAACCTCACCAGAGCTTTACCAGTTGGTAACATTCTCTTGATCTGCCTAGGCCGGACCAAAAAGTGAACCCAGCTCGAGGTTTCCGCAACCTAAGTTTATCGCTCGATATTCCCCATCAGTGCGCCGTCGTCCCTTTACCCCAAGATCACACATCGATCGATTCCGGGGTTTCGAATGTCTCGCAGCGATAAGTACATCATTCCCATGGTAAGACGTAGTGAGGTAAAAAGTAGTCTGCGGATTTCTTCTTATCGCGGGTTGACGGGCGATCACGGGTCTCAGACATTGGTGGCGCCGAACCTTTGCATCAGCCCGCAGCATTCCTCGGTCCCGAAAAGAATAAAGATAAAAAAGAATTCCCCGAGTGAGCGTGCGCGCGCGCCAGTCCAAGCTGCCACGAGGGCGCAGTCTGTAAGGTATGGGTGGTTATTCGGAATTAGTATCGATTCTTTTGCTCTACATGCGCCTCGGTGTAAGTCAAACAGAGGGCAGACGAAGTCCCAACGCGCAAAACTCGGCCATTCGCGTTCTCGCGCGCAAGGTGCTGTCGCTTTCCTCTTCTATTGGCCAGTCCGGGCTTCAATGTCGGATTCTGGGCTTGCTGGCCCTGTTGAGTAAGGTATTATTGATTGACTTTGACGCTGCATCGCCATTCCTTCGAACGGACAAACGCAAAGAGAAGAGAGACTCTTCCATGGCCCCAAAGCGGGAATTGGCTTTTCATTCCTCTCCCTCTCAATTGACTTTTCAGCCCTCGAAAAGCGCCATGATGTGTTTCCTAGGCATTGCCGCTGCCGACCCCAACATCAAGGACCCTTGGAATCTGAGTCATTGTCACGGGAATGTTCCTCTGAAGATTTTGACAGCTATTTGCGGTCACATCGAAATCCAGCCATTTTTCCGCTTTGGGGACACTCGCCCGTGCACACACGCAATCGTGACACCAACTGTTGGCGCCGATGTCTCCCGCAACGCCTCGTGGCATCGTGCGACGGAGGTCCAAAAGAAACACCCCATTCTTTGCCACACGCCGCACCATGAGGATGGATGGCTTAGAATGAAAGGCAAAACCGCCTGGAAGCGCACCGAGCTCTACGGTACGAAGACCGGGAATTTGGTTACCTTCTGTCTGGGCACCCCGTTTGATCCGGACCGCCCGAAGGCCATCCATCTCTCGTTGAGGACGACTTGTCATTGATCGAATAAATCACCCACCTTGTGGAATTATTCGCCGTTTTTACCCTCGAATCTGCCGGCGTCAACTGTTGGGAGTCTAAGTAGACCCATGAACCATCATCATTACCAAATGGAGGAGGGGGCGCACGCGACATCAACTTAGGTGTCGACAACCTGGTTCCGAGGGAATCGTAAGCCGCTTCAACGGATGGCTTACTGGTAAGGGCGCCACGCCCCTCGCCAACTACCCTCTTTGATCCCAAACATAGAAGTAACCTGCCGCCACTGTATCATCCGACTTTGGTTTCCTGTCGGAACCGGAGAGTGAAAATTCTGATCTCTTTTTTGCCCTTTTTCTGTTGAGATTCGAGTGCCGAACGAACTTGGCTTGACGGCTTGCCTACGGTGATGGGTCTGTGGCTTGACGCCGACCGATGACTTCAAACTTCGAGAAGAGTCTTGCCGCATGCAGATTTTTCCAAACCGGTGATGGCTAACTGCCAGAATGGAAGTACCTTTCCCATTTCTTCTTCTTCCTTGTTGGCCGAGTCCAGGCCGGTCCAAAGGCACCGGTCTTCCACGTAGGCTCAACTCAAAGGCCAAAGAAAACTCACTCGAGCCTCCGCATCGGCCTCCTCTTCGGTCATAATCCACCATCAGAACTTCAGAATCATCGGGTCTCCACCCGGTCAGCCGGCATCGTTCCCTGACATGGATGTGTGCAACTTTTTTTTTTTTCAGTTCACATGTGAAGTGGGCACAGCGAAGAGGCTGTTAGATGATGGATCCTTCTTCCTGTCGTCAACGGGGTGGGCTTCCTCGATGCAACCGTACTGACAGAGAACAGAATTGGGCGGCACTGTTGCAAGGTAAGGCTTCCACGCGCGCTTCTACCGGAGCCCTAAGGCGAGAGCCCAGGCACCGGATGATATCCGTCATGCCCGTCACCGGCCACCCGTGTCTTCCCCTCTCGCTTCCGTCCCCTCTGCATTTGGCAAGTCA